AGAGCAAGCCCTGCGCTAATCCATGGGTGCCACCTGCCGTCTACTTCTGACGACATCACCCACGAATTCACCTCTGCATCCTGCTGATTGCTCCAGATGTTCAGCTTTTTCCTTTGTGCCTTCTTGGAGGCTTCCTGCCATAACTCACAGCTTGTGGGGGTGAGCTGGGGACAGCCACACGTGTCCTGCCTGCGGCTGGATGGAGCTGCTCCAGATGAGAGCAGGAGGATAATGTTACCACTTTCCTGAGGATAACGAGGGCAGGGAATAGCTCTCATGTATCTGCAACTGGAAACCTGATCTGTTGGACCCGGTTTCCTAAAAAATTGGGTGGAGAAAGCATTACTGCATGGCTGAGCTGGATGAAATAATTGCAATTGAAATAAATAACTTCAGGGTTGGGTCAGGGAGAGAGGAAAAATCATTTTCATTCCTCTTTGTTTTATGTCTTTCCTGCAGAAAATTAGAAGGCAGACTTCAGACTTCTGCCATGACACAGATGAAATCAGGTATGCCAGGATTTCTCCTTGGATTTTTTTTTTCTTGCTCACGTTGTGAATTGTTCTGTCTGGAATTACCTTTTCTGTCACAACATTTGTTTTGTTTGAAAGGACATTTCTCCTTACAAAAGAAAAAAAAAATCAGTTCAAACACTTTGACCATTTCTGATGGGAACATTTGAACATGTAGGAGGAGGGAAGGATGGCTAGAAATAACCAAAGTGCCATTACCCAGTGGAGCTGAGATGTGGAAAGCCACCTTTCTGCAAAGTAAGAAAGTACATCTATATTCCTTTCTCACTGCTAGCCTAAAGTCTTCCCTCTTTCCCTAGAAAATAACCTTACAAGCTTTTCATCTGTCTCTCATAGTTCAGAGCGTCACTTCTTTTGTTCAATCTTTATCCTTTTTTTTTTCTCCCACCTCCTTTCCTGCTGCTTCTTGCTTCTCTGTCATTTTCTTACATTTCTTTGCACAAAATCACCTGGATTTCTTCTTTTTCTCTCTGTTTTTTGTTTTTTTTTTCCCCCTACAGGCACTCAGGCACTTCCTCCATTTGCTTGCCATAATTTTAGATTGGTGGCAGCAGGAGTTGCTGCATCCAGCAGCTCAGTCCTGCAGCTCCATGTCCTCACACCCAGCCAGCAGTGATGCTGAGCCTGTGTTCCCAATACAGACATTTGCTCCTACTCCCACTCCGAAGTGTGTGTAGGACAGATCCTTGCCAGCAGTCCCAGACCCTCAGGCAGCAAGGACATCTGTAAGGACTGCCAGAGAACCTTCCTGGTGACTCAAAGGGATGGGTGTCACCTCTGTCCTGATGGCTCTCCTGAACAGCCCAGGGAGGAGCTGGGGCTCTGTTATCTTATTAGATTAACGGTATTTCCCACCTGCCTTTAGGGAGATGAGCCATTACTCATATATGCATGACCCAAGGGCCAGAGCTACTTTGGATTCTGGAAGGCAGGCATCAACTCCCGAGAGCCAGCAGCTGAGTTTGAGTCTGGCCAGCCTTATGTAATACATAAGCATACACACGTGTTGCATTGTGTTTGCTCATTTATATCTGCACATAAATGCAAACGCAGCATGATCATGCACTTAATGCGGTCTTGCAAGGCGGAGGCATTGTGTGTGTCTACAAGCTGATTTGAGCCAGCTGAAGCATAGATCTGTGATTTCACTGGCATGTCAAAGTCTTAACCAATGTTATTCAGCGTTTCTCAGCCCTGAGAACAGCTGCAGTAGCTGAGTTTTGCTGCTAGACGTCATTGAGCATTTCATGCTTTACCCTACATTTTCAACTTTCCAATAATAGATTCAAAAGAAGGTGACTGTGAGTGAGGTTTCCAGAGGCAGAGCTTTCTTCAAGTGCCAAAGTGTATCAATAAATACATCAAAATAACAGGATGTCTTAAACACTCCCAGTTGCAAGATGACAGCTCCAAGATGACACATGGGCACACACAAAGATAACGCTTCCTTGCTGTTCTGTAAGGAACTGCTGATTTTTCTTCCTTTGTTTGCTTTGAATCTGATTTTTTCAGTCCTGCTTTTGCTGAAGTCTCAGAATAACCAAAATTGATATATGCTGGGTGAAAGAATGGGTCCTGGGAGAAAGGAGAAATGCAAAGAGTTTGAGTTACTGTTTGGAAACGATGAGCCTGAAATCCCCTTGCCACTCACAAGGTCAGGAATCGCTATGCCCACACATGCAAGAAAGAAAAGAAATCAATAAAATCATCATCTATAAACCTCTCTGAGCAGGCTGTTTCAGTGCTCTGTCACTCCGACAGTAAATAAGTTCTTCCTTGTGTTAGTATGGAACTTTGTGTTTCAGTTTCTGCCCATTGCCCCTTGTTCTATTGCTGCACGCCACCAAAAATGGTCCATCTCCATCAACATGACTCCTGCACTTTAGATATTTATAAACAATTGTGAGATCCTCCCTCAGTTTTCTCTTCTCCAGGTAGAATCGTCTCAGGTCTCTCAGCTTTTCCTCATACAGGAGATGCTCCAGATGTGGCCCTCTGCTGGACACTCCAGCAGCTCCCTGTGTTTTTGGAACTGGAGAGCCCAGAACTTGGACACAGTACTCCAAATGAGGCCACACCAGGGTAGAGCAGAGGAGAGGTTCACCTCTCTCAACCTGCTGGCTGATCTCTTCTTGATGCACCCTAGGACACCATTGGCCTTTTTGGCCACAAGGGCACACTGTTGACTCATGATCAGCCTGCTGTCCACCAGGACAGACAGGTCCTTCTCCTCAAAGCTTCCTTCCAGCAGGTCAGCCCCTAATCTGTAGTGATGCACGCGGTTATTCCTCCCTAGGTGCAAGACACTTGCTTTTGTTGAACCTCATCAGGTTCCTCTCTGCCCAACTCTCTAGTCTGCCCAGGACTTGTTGAATGGCAGCACTTCCTTCTGATATGTCAACCACTCCTCTCAGCTTTGTATCACTTGCTGACAGTGGACTCTATCCTCTTTCCCAGGTCACTGATGAAGATGTTGAACAAGAACGAATCTAGCACCAACTGCCGCTAGTTATAGGCCCGTCGTAACAACTCAGTCTGGTGGAATACTTCCCTTTGTAATAGAATCCTTACCATCAAGCTAGTTAACCCAGTGCTGGCAAAATATTCTATACAACTCCACTATAAGTTGTATGTGATTTGGTAAAAGAAGGTATACTTGTGCACAGAGAAAAAACAGCTTTTCATTCCGTGCTCGTCATGCTGCATACCTGAGATATTGAGTATATACAGTCCACGTACATCGAGGATCTGTAGCAATCCTGGTTAAGTTTCCTAAGAGACTCCTGAAGATAAGAGGTTGAATTGGGCAGCATTGTGATCTTGTCACCAGTCATGGATATCTTCTGCTCTGGTTTCTTGCATTACGTGCTCGCAGCACGTCTGTCTCTACCACAAAACCAGATGAGTTACACAATTGTAGGGAGAAGATGGAGGGAAACAAGAGCGTGCTGAAGCCTCCTGCTAACTTCTGCCCAGGCCTCTGGCAGCATGACTCACTGTGAGCTGCCATGGTTACGAAACAAGTATTACTGTGCAGATACAAACCATGCTCAGAGGCAAGTACATTGCTGACTGATTCCAAACTTGGAAAACACTCGGGTGTAGGTAAGGCCTAATACCAAGTGGGTGTTTGCAAAAATGAGAGTTATAGCAAAATCCTCCAGAGCAGGAAAAACAGCGTGCAGAAAGCAGAGGGAGGGAAAGCATCATGTGAAATCTTGCTTTCTGGTTCTTTTCGCTTATTCCTTCTGGTTTTCCAGCGCTACTGTCAGAATTGTTCCACAGAAAAACAAACGAGGGGAGAAAAGAGGATGTTTCTGTACCATGGCAAGAAAACAAATAGTAGTGTCATGGATGATTCAGCTGGCAAGGATAGTGAGTCACGGAAATGCAGCATGGAAGTGCTCAAGTGCAGGATACGCGGCACAGTGGAACATCTGATGTAGACTGAGTTCAGTATCATGGCACCTTTAGAGAGCTAGGGCCAGCCAGGACTGCCAACAGCCTCAACGCTTCTCTCCTGTGAGCTCAGCAGAATGTAAGCCCACCTGAAGTGCCGGAGCAGTGCTTCTCTCAGCTTCAACCAAGTTGCAGGGTTTCCATGAAAAAGGTATGCCTGATCCTCCTTGAGTCACGCCAACAAGGAAAGCACTCTTATTCAATTTCCTGAGAATTAACCAAGCAAAGCACTCAGGGATGCAAAGTCAAGCAGCTGCACCCTCATGAAACAAACTGTATTAATAGGGTTTAACAGCAGGGAAGTTTTCCCTGGAAAGGGAAAACAGTTTCTGGTTGCATTAGCATCCTCCCAGAGGCCCTTCTCTGGCTAGAAGAAAAGGCCGGGCAATCTTTGGACAGCTATTCTGGGAGTCCTGAGCCTGCAGAGATCTCTGGAGTGGAAGAAGAGGACTCAGCAAAATGCAGAAAATGAACTCCTGAGCAATTTCCTTTTTTTTTCTTCCAGTGTGTTTCTGTGCCATTTTTTTCTTTTTTTTCAGTTACCTGCAAATCTCCCTACCTTGAATGCATGTTAAACCACTCAGCAGTGCACCCTGACTGTCAGAGCCACCCCAGGAGGGACGGCAGTCCTAAATCTGCTTTTATGTCAGCTAAATCAGGGTTACAGTCAGCTGGGGTCACCAGCATGATACATAACTAGTGTATCCGACCCCAAATCTGTATTTTATAGATAGGGAAATACAGAGAAAACCGAGGTGACCTGCTCACAGCTCACCAAACAAGCCTCGAGGTGGGACCATGCCGACTGTTTTTAGGGACAACTAGCAGGTCCAGTGAACCAGGAGTGAATTTTTGAGCTCTCTCTGCAGTTGATTTCACTGCTAACCTGAGGCAAATGCTTTCACTTCTTGTGGCTTCAGCTTCCAGTCTGTACAATCAGAGGGGCAGGTCACCTAATTTGGAAAAAAAAAAACACCAAAAAACCACCACCAACAAAATAAGACAAAATAAATCTCCACAACGTTATTTTACTTTCTAAAATAATTATCAACAAGTGGGCTTCCATGCTGGTGGGTCCCAACTACATGCAGGCTCTTGCTCCAGACCTCTGCATTATGAGGCTGTCCACGTGAGGGAATTTCTCAGCATTTTCACCTGTTTATTACCTACTGCAGCATTTCACACTTCTATAAAAAAGCACAATGCTTTTGCTGAGCAAATTCCACACAGAAATCTAATGTCGGGTGGGGGGAGAATAGGGGGGAAGGAAGACCCGTTGGTAAGCAATAGTTATGTTTAAACTTATTCCATGAGGGAAAAATTATTTGTTGGGTCTTTCATGGGTTTGGATATACACGCCTGGAAGCAGAGCGCTTTGGGACAGACTTTGGGATCTACCAATGCAGGAGAGGGCGTCAAACTCAGAATTATCTCTGCTAATGAGGTCTGTGCTAATGCGCTGTGGCCAGCACATAGCAAAAGTAAAATGAAATCAAGCAGAGATGCTGCTCCTGGCCTGCCTTCCTGTAGACCTGCTACTTCAAGACTGTAGAGGATGAAGGACAAAAGTGAGGTTTTAGGTCACGGCTAAAAGGCAGAACTGATTTCAAGAGCGTCACCTCAGCCCCAGCCCTGTGCTTGCTGGGACACGCGTAAAGACGCTGAAACTACGCACGGACACAAGACCTGAGCAGCCTCCTCCCCTCCAGCACAACCAGACCCATCTCGAAGCGAGCGCAAGATGGCGCCTGAGGGGGAAACGCAAATCCCGCGCTGCGCACACCACGTGACCCCTCCCTCTCCGCCCAGAGCGGGGCCGCCCCTCCCAACTCTCGCGAGAGCCGCCCGTGGCGTCGCGGGAGCCGGTGCTGCGCTGCGGTAGGAGGTCGGCGGAGAAGGACGGAGCCGGAGCCGCTTCGCCGCCCTCCTTCCTCCCTTCCCTCCCTCCCGCCTCGCTCCCCTCCGCAGCCGGGAGGATGCCGCGCTCCGGCCCGCTCCCCGCCGCTTTCTCCCTGCTGCTGCTGACGGCCGCGCTGCTGCCGGCGCCCTCCGTCGCGCAGAACGGTGAGGGCGGCGTGAGGGGAGCTGAGGGAGGGGGGGGGGCGCGTTGCCATGGGGCCGCCGGTTGCTATGGGGGCGGCTACGGCGGGGGACGAGGGTCATGGGGGGCGGGGGGGCGCCGAGGCCGTTCGCGGGGGGCGGGGAGGGGGGGGCTGCGGTCCCGCTGTGGGGCTGGGGGGGGGGGGGGAAGCCTTGTCCCCCCCCGTTGCGCTGCCCGGTGCTGAGGTGCTCCGCGCCCGGCAGCGCGACCGTCTCCTCCCGCCCACTGAACCTGCATCTGCCGGGTTGCCTTCGGTGATTTATAATGCAATAAAGTCGTAGTTCCTTAGCAACTAAGGAGGTGCTGTGATAGGAGCGTAAAAGAGGGAAGGGAAAAAAAAAAAAAAAAAAAAAAGGGGAAAAAAAAAAACCACCCTTCTCTGCGCTTTATAGGAGAGTGTGAGCTAAATGTGGCGCGGCGTGCCTCCTCCCCGGTGAGTTCGCAGCCGAGTGCGTGGCGGTCGGGGGCTGGAGGAGCTCCGTGTGTCTCCTGGTGATCCGGGACACCCTGTGGCACTGCGAGATGAGAGGTGGCTCTGAAGGAGGGGTGGGGTGTGCAGGGTCCCCTGTGTGGCATTACAACAAGGCAAGGGCAGGAGCTCAGCTGTGAGGTTTGTGTGCGTAGGGGAGGTGTTACCTACAGAGAAACCACACTTCGCATATACATCTATTCACACTGATTTGTGGCTGCTTCGCCCTCTCACCTCTCCCTTTCCTCTCTGCTGTGCAGTTATACCATCCTAGCCTTTTTTCTTGAGGTAGGTTTTGCATTACAGCATGAGGTCGCCTTTGACCCTTTGCTGTAGGAGAGAAGCGCTGAGGCCTTCAGCCTATTTAACAATGATAGGAGACGTAGATATAAGAAATAACAGCCCAAACATCCCAGATCGGATTTATTTCCTCACTGTATGTGCGTTTTGCAGTCTGAAACCAAAGTGACTGCTAACCAAGCTGCTGCACAGAGAAACCTGTGGGCTTTCTGCATTGTGAGGGCCCTTCTTAAGGAGCACCAGAGGCCAGGCAAATCCTGGCCAGTTGGACTGCTGTGGCAACAAAGTCTGGTTCTTCTGCATTGATGCAGTCTGTGCTATTGCAGCATGGTTTCAGCAGGGTTAATCTGCCCACATCGTGTTTCCCATGGTATTTGGGTGAAGTGAGGTGACGTGTGAGTTAAATAGGTCGCATGCTTGAAGCTGCTCATGTGTTGAGTTAGCAAGCAAGGTGTCAAATGCTGGCAACTGGTATAAGGATGCTAACTAGCTGCTTGATAGGCAGTGCAGGCGCTTGGGTTTTAACGGTAGTTGTGTGTCTTAAGGTCAGCAGTTGAATACATTTTGGGGGTAGATGGCAGGCCTTAGCCTTTCTCTGCTTCATTCTTGGCTTCCACTGCTGACATGAAGCTAACCTAGCAGTAGCAGTTTTTGGCATGAGATAAGGTTACAGACCCCAAGAGTTTTCTGAGTGCTCATTAATTTTTATGTGGCTAACTAGGGTTGTCCCAGCAATAAATGATAGGGGAGACTCTGAGCACGTGTGCTGAGCTAAGAATTTACACAAGAAGTGAAAATCTTGGGAAGGACTGGAGCACTCCAGAGGCAGAGATCCTTCTGAAAAAGGTGCATTGCTGCAATTGAATTTCTGCTCCCCATTTGAGTGCTGTCATAACAGAGAAGCAAGTTTAAAGCTTGTACGTCAGGCCCAGCCTTGGAGGAGCTGATTTTTCTGCAACTGGTGGCCAGTGAGATGCTTACAGAATCGCTTCTGCTTCTGCTGTGGCGTGAAAAATAGGTACAGCTGTTTTCTGGGTTGTATGTACTCCTGGTAAGCTGTTCAGAAAACAATTTAACTTGAAAAGGGTTGTGGAAATCTGTCAGTGGCAACTATCTAAACACTGCTGGGGGTGTGCTTTGAAGGTGTGGGGGGAAGTAACCCCAAATGTATGCCCAGGAAATCCATTATGTGTTACTGATATGTAGCTGTAGTGAAAAGATGCCAGGGGTTGTTCTGCATGCAGCAACACTGAGTTATGTACCTGTTGAAGCTGCAGGTCATGGTCTGCCCAGCCAGCAGTATGCAGCAAAGCCCTCAGTGCCTGTTGGAAGCAGCCTTTTTTCTTCTGACGAGATTACTGCTGAATTTTTCTAGAATTAATGTAATCCAGTATAGTTTTAATTAGCACCACGTATAGATTTAAGCTGACTAAAACGGGAAATAGGTTTTTGGCATCTGTAAGGATTATATTTAAAGCTCTTACATAAACACCAAGGGATCCCAGAGAAAGTTGTGTGTCAAAAATGTGACTTTTCCCAAGGATTCTTCTGAGACTCTTGTCAATTTCTTGATGTCTGTGTCCAGCAGGTGGGTTAGGTGAAGTAACAGAAAGGAGAGTTAGGAGAGGAAGCATGAGGAGGAACAGCTGAAAAAATCGGTCAGGAGGGTCTGTGTAAACCTTGTAGTTTGCAAATGATGTTGGTTGGAAAGTCACTTCTTCAGATCAGTGTTCTCCTTGTGGGAAGGAGCTTGGCTCTTTGGTGATGAACACCATGCCTTCTTTGGTGGCTGGTTTTCAACCTTGGCAGCATATTTGGCAGCTGTTTCCTTCAAAACCAAGGCTTGAAGGTACTAGCACTTGGTAAGGTTTAGTTTTAAAGGAGCATGGCTATATCTCTACTGACGGCTGAAGTAGATACTTGAGCTGCTCCTGTTGAATTTGCAGTCTTTAGCACAGCAGTACACAATCTGAATCACTTTTTCCAGTTCTTCCCTTTTCAGAGCTCTGGTTTGGCAGTGTGCACTTAAAAGCAGGCTTTCTCTGAAAGTGTCTTGTCTGAAGGACCAAATTCTTAAAATCTCGCATTTTTAAAATTGTGAATGCTGTTTCTGGCTGCAGCTTTTCAGCCATTTTGCACTGATTGCCTTCTGGTATTCTGATGTGATTTTAGCGGTCCCCAGATAAAACTAAGAAATGGTTTCATACAGCATTTATGGAGCGTGAGTGTGGGCTGAGCATCGAGGAAGATGTTCAAAGTTCTGTTCTCCCCACCATTTCTATTCTCTTTCCTCCTACAACTCCCGCATAGGAAACTTAAATACAAGCAAGATGACTAACATGTATACGCTTGAAAACTGCATTAAACCCTTACAGATATCTGCTAACAGGTAACGAGGCGTCAACTGCTGGTACTGGCACTTCAAACAATAGCTTTAATTACGTCAAGAAGCAATCCAAGTGGAAGTGCTGTTAAGTGCTGAAGTACACTGCGAGCATTAACTGTCCTTGCAACAGAGTCCTGCAGGAAGACTACTTGTTATGCTCATGAATGAGGTGCATTCTCTCCTTCACAATGATCTGTTTCTTTTGCTGTAAGCACTCCTTTAGAGGAGGCGATTGTAAAAAAAAAAAAACTTGTATTGTAAAGGACAATGCTAGCCTGTGATTCATCCTTCGGTTGTAAAACCAGTGTGGAAACTGCTCAGCTTCAAGCTCTGGAGGTGCTGCAGCTCCTATTGAGGAACCTCTTAAGGTGAAAGCTGGGTAAACGGATTCTGCTTATTTTTAACTGGGAAGGTCTGTTAGCTGTGAACCTAAAGCAGCTCTTTTGCCTCTTCCGACGTTTTATTTCCTACATCCATACAGTTTAGAGTGCTCCCTTTCCATCAGCATTTAATTTCTCTGCTTTTCTAGCTCGATTGTTATGGTCGTTCCGTGTAAGTTGTATTTCCTTGTAGTTCCTGGTGCTTTTCAGTCACGTTTTCAGGAATGTGATGAGTAGAACTGGCCGCAGTTCCAGTTGGGACTGGCCCAAAGCTCAGTGGAGTGGAAGGATGGCTCAGTGCATCTTGCAGATGGCATTCCCATTTGCATCACAGGACAAATGCGTTTTTTACAGTATGTTTTTGACTCATGTCCAGTGGGATCCTTTACAATGGTCACATCTTACATGACAGGACTGCTGCTTTGTGTTCCTTGACTGCCTACACCAAGCAGTTCTTTGATGTTCCTGCTCAATGGCATTTTCTGATGGCTGCTCCCACTTGTCACGATCCTGTTGGGATCTAATGGAGCACCCACTGGTGCTCCATTCAGCTTGCTTTGCTTTTGTCAACTGAAACAACACTCTAGGCAATCAGCTATCTTATTTTATTCTGTTTTTCACCTACTTGCTTGTATACGTAAAAAAACACGTGATATACAAAGCTGTGTTAATGGAGTTTTATTTTTAGGTAGGAGTCTCTTGTCTGGAGGCAATAACAATTGCCCTATTGAAATTAGGAAAATTGCAGCTGTTTTCTCCTCTGTTTACATCTGTGTTTTACTGACTTTGCAGTGGATCAGATTGTCATGGGTAAGTGGCCTCAAACCATGGAAGGTCAGTAGGCTTTGTTCATCAGATAGATTTCTCCCATTGTCTTCCTGGGCACTGAACTGGGATTGACTGTCTGCAGTTCCAGTCTGGTGGAGGAGGATTGGCTGTTTTAAAGTTGAGAGTTGTCAAAATTCTGTATCAAAAAATAACGTCCAGTAGTTCTGATTCAGATAATTGAACCATTTTTTACGTGACTTTAACAAAATCTTACTATTGAATGCTTTCACTTCCTCTGCCATTGTGTGCTGCATTGTTTTTTTTTTTTTGTCATTACAGGAGATTCAGTCTAATTAAATCTAAAAATAATTTCAGCCTGGATTGAAGGTCTTCGGAGTATTTATCCACTAGCAAGATAACTACAGTAGACTTTTAAAAATTCATGTTCTCTTGATAAGCTTGAAGCTTTTTTGGGTCATGTGTGTGGTTGAAGTCACCACTTCAGCATTGACGCAAACTCATTTGTGCAGAAAGACAACTTTGGAAGCTGGGAGGGATTCATCAGGCAGTGTCAGAAGGCGTAGATATCTGCTAGAGTTAAGAATTAGAAGATTTGGAGAGTAGAACTTTTTTTCACTATTCCTGTTCAGAATGCAGTGG